CCCATTCTGCAAATACTTTTATCAAATTGTCAGTTTACGCATGCAGTCAATTACAAATTTTACTATTTCTGAACACTTAATTACCATAAAAGCAGCAGAAGTATTCCTTCATTATTTTTCATTTCAAACTGCACTTTTGTTGTAAATAAGCACATAAAAACAGCTTGTTAAATAACTGAAAATTTAATCTAACATTATTTTAAGCACAAAAGTGAAATTTACGAGTTAAGCATTAGTCACAAATGTAACTTGTACAAGTACACTACTATACAACTACAGTTCATGGTATTATAGATGCATAATTTTGTGGTTATACATCAAGTTCATTAACTATCTAGTCAGCCTGAACCCCAGCTAAATCTAATTAATATATCCATGAAATAATTAATAGCACTTTTTTAAATGGCCAGGCGCTTTATTTAATTTTAATGGCTGGATGCCATTAGCCTTGGGCCACCAGAAGCATCAGAAGTGGTGGCTATTTCGTTATGGAAATACTAATAGATGGCTACCATTGCCTCCTTTGAAGGAGGCGGACAGTTACAATCAATCTTCTCCGCGATTCGAACTCAGGCCCATCACTTCGGCAGACAGGGTCATTAGCCACTATACCGGCTGGGCAGCTCAAAATTAAAAATATTTACAACACTGTTATAATTAATAAAAGAAGTTTCCAGCACCAAGCATTACATACGCGAGGACAGAATTATTTCATTTTTAATAATATATTTAATTAATATTAGAAACGTTTTCAATAGAATAAAAAAATTCTGTAACATTCTTATATTACTATACATTTATTTTGACAACCGCATAACTTCACAAGTGTTGGCAATACGTAAAACATCCGATTTTATATAGGTTTATTTTATCATCCACGTAACTTGACAAACATTGGCAATACATAAAACATAAAATTTTATCTTCCATGCATTTCCACAAAATTCAGAGTGTAGCTGTACTTAATCAAAATATTTTCAAATTGGAGCCATCTGTAAATGATTAACAAACTCAGTGATTTTAAAGCAAACATTCTTAATAATTATATCTTTATTTTTTAATACGGAATACATAAAAAAAAATTAAAAATTATCACCTAAGAAAAGTGAACTGAAATTTAGAAAGCAAATGTGCACTATTTTGATAATTATTAATTCAAACTTGTAAATACACTGGAAATGCCAATTAAAATGTTAAAAAAAAATTAAAACAAGAGAAAATTACATTAGTGCCCATTTTCGTTCTAAATTAAATCAGCTTGTTAGATTAAATTAAATTATGTAGTCTTCCACTTCTTCTTACCTTTTGGATTTGTTAAATTATCTCACCTCAAGTAGTCGGTGCATTGTAAGCACGAAGTTCACGCCTTTCTGTAAGTTTTGCTTAATAAAACACCTTTTCCTTTGCTTTTTACACCCTTTCCCTGTGTTCACCTTCACGCCTCTGCGAGAAGTCGCCAAGCTGGACACAGAGATCTAGTCACATTGATTGCATGATTGCTAAAAGGTTAGATCTTACAACCTGGTAAAACATCCAATATTGTGAGCAACTAAATAACTCTTGAAGAAAATAATTTTATTGGTCTTTGTGCAGATAATTCAAATTCTAACTTTGGACGAGCTGATGGAGAAAATAATGTTTTTGTTAAACTGAAAGGAAACCTTAATCATGGTTTAACTGAAGTCAGATGAGCAAAAACACTAAAAATCTTATACTGTTAGAGTAGAAACATTTAAAATTTTCTGCAACTTCGTAGAAACTAATTTTTCAGTAATACTAGAGTATTTGCAAACAAGATGGTTAGCCATTGAATGGGGAGTCCAAATAACATGGATAACTTTATTCCAATAAATGTTAAAAAAAAAAGTCTAGAAAATCTTGGAAGAGAATGAAGATGTGTCACAGTCCAAAGTTATTTAATTTCAAAAAGCTTTTGTTTCATTTTACCAGACTGCTCTTACTTATTTGGAGAAATGGACAAATATTTCAGGAGATGGAAATGTACAGTTGGATCATATTAAATTCCTTTTTGGAATCAGGTTAAAACAGCCTTTTTGTTAATTAATAAAATCCCAAATCATAAATTATCGGAAACTGATATACATATACATGAAGAATATGTTTACCTTAAACAATATATCACAGAAGTAAAATATTTCAGAATGGTCAAAAAATAAGATGCTCCCAGTTTAGAGGTGGAAATAACTGCATATTTTAATAAGAATCAGATTCCTTGTTCGAATGTTTTAAAATTACGAGTTTTTCTTTTGTCTTCCTGGTACTAATGCTGCAACTGAGCAAGTATTTAGCATTATGAACAGTTTTTGGACTAGTGATAAGACACAGCTTAAAGTGGTCACTGAAGAGCATGTTAATCAACAAAATAAAATTTGATGAAAATTGCACAGTATTAGTTTGTTTAAAAAGGAATACTGCATTTTGATTTATTCTTTATCTATTAAAAAAGATATTAAATATCACTATTGAAAATAAAACAAAATTTAATATGTATATTGACCTACATTCCACCTCTACCACAATAACAATAATATAATTTATTTAAAAAAAAAAAATCATATATAATAGTGCCCCGAATTTCAAAGGCTGGTCATCTTAATTCTAGGAACAAGGGCATTTCTCATTGGCCATTCTTTAATATGTTGTTTTCGGTCATGACTATCCCATTCGCAAAGAAAGCATGGGAACTTTGTGCAGTCACTCTATTGGCCTAAACATAGAAATTACTTTCAACTCACTGCAAGCTGTCCACTTTTGATCGCAGTAACCAAGCTTGCTCAGTACAAACTCAAGATTTTCCTAGCATTCTTTCAAATGATCTGAATGTCTGACAGGTATAGAAGCACATTGGTTCTCATTATGAAGAAGGACGACTTTAAAATGAATCAAGAGTCAGTATTCAAACTTCTAGTTTGTATTTGATACTGAAGTTTCCCATTACTCCAGGAATATTGTGATAAAAAAACTAGGTCACTCTCTTGAGGAAAAAAGTACAAATTCTTTTTTCTCTATACCAGTACCATGAACCATTACCCACTTTTCTTTCAATTTAGACTAAAACCTCTGCTGAATTTTTTGGACCAAAGTATGCTATTAAATTGATTAACCGTGAGAACTCGCACCGGGTATCACATGCCCGATCTATTTTCATGCAACGTTTTTGTTGCTTTCTTCTTATCAGATTAAATCAGAATTTCGTGTAGCTGTATTCAAAGTCTCATTCTTTCAGCAGGGGTATAACTAGTTCAGCCCTAAAAATAGATTTTGAGATACAGGTGTCGGGGGTATGTCATACCCGTGCTAGTCCTCACGTCAGTCAGATCTTTCCTTTTATCTGTCAGCTTAGTGAATTATGACGTGCTATTTGAATTACGACGAATAAAATAAATATTTTCAACACCTTATCGAGAGTGTTTCTAGTGATGATGAACCTATATTTGATGATAGAGTTACCTCTGAAGAAGGACTGAATAGTGTAGCAATTGCGATATTGAGATAGAAACAGAAGATGAAAGTTCACCGTCAACCACCAATTTTTTATATCGGTAAAGATAAAGTTACAAACTGAGAGAAGAAAAAATACCGGCAAAATGTTAGAAAGCCTTTAAGGAATATAATTAGCAAGCTTCCAGGTAATACAGCTCATTCAAGAGATGTGTCGCTTCTCATCTAGATGCATGGAATGTTTTCTGTGGTGCAGATTCAGGCAGTATATATTATGCCCAAAATGCCTAAGTATAGCATCAAGATATTTGCACTAGTAGATTCTAGAGTATCTTATACCAGGAATATGGAGATTTATGCTGGTCAAACAACTCGATGGACCATTCAAAATCAAAAATGTTTCTTTGTTGCTTTTAACTATGTAAGTCCAACAAATGTAACAGAAACAATCTGGAGAATTAACACATGCTCTAGAAACCATCACTTCACAAAACAAGTAAGTGTGTAAAGCAGTGGTTGGATCCACACAGACAGCATGTCAAGTTTCTTTCCAGGTATCAATGGATTTTACCAGTTTTGATGTACAGTCTGTTCAACAATATAAAGGCCGAGTCATGTTGCCATCCTGAACTTACATTGGTAACTTTATTACGTTAACTCATGAGGATAAAGATTTAATATTATATAGATTTTAATACTAAAAAACATAGCTTGCATGTATGTCAGAAAAGCTTTAAAAATGTAAACTTAATGTGCAAATTTTAGGTACACTACAGGTAATAGATTTTTTTTTCACTATTCTTTCTGTAATCAGGACAAAAAATACAATAGCAAATCGCTGAGAAAATCTGAAACTATTTTTTCATCACAAACCTGTGCTATTTAATAAAGTTTAATTGTAATGATAACTTCAAAAAAAGTCTATCAATATATATAATCAATTGTACTGCCAAAAAATAACACATTTACTCCTAGAGATGACAAAATCGCAAGAGACATTTACTCATTTGAAAAATCTCCGAGATGTTAAAGAATTTCTTACTCAAGAACAAGGAAACGAATTTTTTTTTTAAATCTACAAAAACAATCATAGATTTTTTTGCAACTTCCTTTCACAGTTGTTGAACACAAAGTTCTTTTGTAGCTTAAAGACAAGCAAGTTCAGAACATACTTACTCTTCAGTGTTCCCTTTTTTAGAGGTAACAATTCTGATAAAATACATTTAAAAAAATACTTTTGATGTGACAGGAAACTTGTTCATTCAAGCTAAACATTTTTATTGTTTATCTGATGACAGAAAAAAAAATGAAATATATACAGAGTAATTATTTTTACATAATGCTTAAAAATCATCCCTACTTTTTAATCAAGTCGCTGTGCTAGCAACATAGAAACAATTATTTTCTACAATGAAATTCAAAATATATTTCTTTGAGAAAAGAGACAACTGTGAAATAAGCAAAAAATTTAACAAGTTGGATCATGGTTTCAATAAATATCAAGTTACCAATGTTTCAAAGAATTGACAAACCAATCATTTTGTGGAAATATCATTTAATTGCATAATTTCAAGCATACAGTAGTTAAGATTTTTAAAATGAAAATGAATACTTATTATCAATGCTTATCAAGAATGATCAGCTATTTCTTTGATGGAAACAATTTATAAGGCAATACACAAAATATATCAACTTAACAGAAAATCAATATACAGCAATTATTAATAATACTTCTATAGTAATGAATTAACTGTTTTCAGAAATATTTTAGTCTCGTACATGCATACAATTTCTTAGAGAAAAATTTGAACTACAAAAGATAAGTAATGAAGCCAGAAAAAACCTCTATTCATCCACTTAATAAAAAAATACATATTTCTTAAAACAGTTATTAACCGATAATAATAGCTTTTTTCTTTTGAAGAAATATACAAAAATATAGTCCGAAAAAATCTTAACATAAAAATGAGGATTTTATGTAAGCGAGCTGCTTACATATGTATTTTATGTAAAAGCTGCGAGCTTCAAGTTATGTAAAATGAACTATAAGTTACAGTTTTACGTAATTACGAATTATGGAAAACAAAAGCTAGAAAATTTCCTCACTACAAGAAAATTTAGAGTGAAGTAAAGCTGTTTTACATCGGTAACAAAAGGATATTAATTACATATAACAACTATTAACCCATTACAAACTATTAACATTTTCTTTCAAAGAAATATATTCAAACACTATCTGAATGAAGAATACTAACTTAGAAACAGGTATAAACAGGATTAAATACACATTTCTGCTTCATTAGAAAAATTTTAAAATTTCAATCTATAGCTGTAGGAATTTTTAAACTATTTCTCTCACACAGAATTTTTTCAGTGCCAAAATTTTTTGTAATCATACAGAAAGACTTGTCTTGGTAAAATAACAAAATAGCTCTTCTCTTTAACAAGCCTATCTAACAGAAATCTAAAGTATTACCTAGTTGGAAACTATCAAATCATATGGTAAAGGTTTCAGATCATAAACATGTTTTATATTATGATTTTAAACTAACCCCAAAAATCATTTAGATCAAAAATTCATCAGATATTTAAACATAACAAATAAAATTTAACAAATTAAATTGGGTGCACCATGATTTACATGTTTAAAAAATCTTAAAACAGATTTTTTTTTATGTTAATTTTTTAATAACACAAAATAAGAACAGTCAACTCATTCTAAATGGTATTTGCTATCCCAAAAATTATTAATATAAAACTTATTACATAATTAGACATTTGATGGGTGCATATATACTAATACATAGAAGTCTACTTATAGTTAGTAATTAATTTAAAACCTAAAATTTATTATCAGATATGATACGATTAAAGCCTATAATATTCATAATTGCATAAAAAGGTTTCGACAAGTTCAATTTGTACAGCTGAATAATCCCAGCAACAGACACAAAGAAAAGAAACATGGTCAATTACAAGATTAAAATTCGATGACCTTTTGTACCTTCTTAAAAAAAAAGACTTAAATAAATGATACAATTTTTCTGTTGCAGAAAACTGCTAAATTAAGTTTACTAAAAAAAATGTATATATAATCAAGTTAATAACCACTAGCAAACACCAAAATTCTTTTGCCCTAAAACCTTTTGATGAAAATAGCATATTTAAATGTTCATAAAAATACAGTAAAGCATATTATAACAGGAAAAGCATAGATTACTTAACGTCGCACTCTTACAAAACCTTCATCATCTAGATTGCTAGCTCTATCCCGTTTAAAACCATCTTCTCTGGGACCTTTCTTATCAGAGCGATCCTCATCCCTAAGAGTACGACTATCTCGATCCCGCCAGGATGTTCCACTGTCTGGCATATCATCTCTTCTGCTTCTCCAATCATTTCTGTCATCACCTCGTCGATCACCAAGATCACGGAAACGGCCTCCACCTGATCTTTCACTTCTAAAAGGACGATCACCACGGTCGTCACCATACCTGTCCCTTCTATCATCCTCACCTTTATTATAATCTCTGCCATCAGTATCATCTTTGCCGAATCTACCTCTCCTATCTAAAGAGTTATCTGGACGTTTCCCGTAATGATCTCTGTCCTTTTCAGTGTAATCAGACCTATTATCTGTCATATCTTGACGATCTCGATAATCTCGATCTTTCATAGATGAAATCCTATCTTTGTTTCCTAAGTAAGTCTCTATTCTATCCCTGTCTCCGTATCTTCTCGAATCTCTTTCGCTATCTTTGTTCCTATTGGCAAATTTATCAGGTCCTGATCTCCAATCTGATCGATCAGGATCTCTTCTATCTCTATCATCCGAACGAACAGAACGCCAATCTCGCTCCCCATCAAAAGGTGCACGCTGATATGAGGTTGAACGAATATCATCTCTTCTCCAGCTATCTTTATCACGCCTTTTCCAATCATCCATTCGATCTCTATCATCTAATTTCCGGGACTCATCATTTCTCTTTCTCCAATCCCAAGTATCTTCATCTTTGTCGGGATCTTTTTCCTTTTCATGTTTGTCTTCACGTGGTCCCCAACTCTGTTTTTTTTCCAATTCACGCTCTCTCCAATTTGGGAAAGATTTTTGTGGAGCTGGCTTCTCAAGATCTTTGCCTCTAGAAAGGCTTTTCTCATCCTCTCGTTTCCTTTCTAATGCTGCAGCAAGAGCAGCTTCTTCTCGCCTTAATCTTTCCTCAATCTCTTTTTCTTTTGCTCGCTTTTTAGCTTCAATTTCTTCTAATTTTGCTAATGCTTCTTCACGTTCCCTTTTTAACTGTTCGTCAATCTCCCGTTGCTTCTTCTCTTCCTGTTCCTTTAACCATTCTGCCCTTCTTTCTTCCTTTCTCTTTTGCTTTCTTTCAGCCAATCGTTTTTTTCTTTCTTCATCTAAAATTTTCTTGAATTCAGCCATTTTCTCCTGATAAACAGATGCACGGGCCTTTTTCAACCGCTCTAAAAATTTATCTTTATCATCTTTTAATCGCATCAAGCGGTCCCGATACTGAACTGCTAAAGCTCTTTCTTCTTTAATTGCCCTAATTCTTTCCTTTTCATGCTGCTCCCAAAACTCTCGATCTTTTAATTGATATTCTTCATATTCTTTTTGAAGTAAAGGTATTTCTTCAATTCGTTTAGCTCTTTCCAAGTGATCTACTTTTCTTTCTTGTTTGCGGAGTTTTGATTGCAATTCTTTCCGTTCACGATCTAGTTGCTCAACTTGCTTATTCAACAAATCATCAGGATCTAGTTTTTCCAATTCTTCTTCATCCATACCTTCAAATATTCTAGAGCCAATTTCAGTCTTCTTAAGCTGTTCAATCTTTTCCATAACAACTTTACGCTTTAATTCGGTTTGTTCACGCAAAAGTCTTTGTTTTGTCCTTTCTTCTGTTTCTCGGGCCATTCTTTCTTTTTCTGCTTCACGAAGCTTTTGCTGTTTATCCTCCAGTAATTTCCTTTCTTCTGCTTCTTTCTGATAATTCAAATTTTCAAGCATTTCTTTTCGTTCTTCAATTATTTGCTGCCTATTTAATATACGCATGTGATCTTTAGAAGATGTTAAAGTATATGCCTTCACAATCTCTTTACAAAGCTCTTTTCTTTCAAGCTTCATTTTGTCTGGTTGAACGTAATTAACAGCCTTATTTAAAACTGAATGGATGTACACCAACTGATTCCGCATTTGTTCGCTAGGCATACTCTGCAAGTGGGGACCTTCAACTATTTCCTCTCTCTGAGAAACATTCAATTCGGATCCAAAATGAAAACATTCTTTTCGATGGTCAATCCTAACTTGCAAGTCATTTCTGCGTGATACTTCTACAATAAGATATTCCAAAGTAAATGGTTGAACAAATGGTGCTAATTCCAGCAAACGTGTAAATTTAATAGTCTGATAAACTTGAGATATTTCTTTCACAAGTCTCACCACAGTAATATCTTGTATAGATGGTATATATTGACGAAGTTCAGGGAATTCCTCCCACTTGTTTAAGAAATCAAAGGACTGCTGAACACGAGAGCATAACTTAAGTGGATGAAACTCAGTTTCTAACCAGCGATACAAATCCTGTAATTGGATTGGAGCAGATTGAATTATACCAAACCGCAGTAAGTCTTTTATTAGTAATGCTCTGCTTGGAGGATTTGGCAATCCAAGCAACGTTGATAATAAACGATGATTTTTATCAATTACATTTTCATCAGTTTCAACTAAACGATCAATTTCGGTACGATTAGGAGGCATTGGGATAGCAAGTGTAGCTAGAACAACTCGTGATGCCATTTTTAATATTTCTTCTGATGTAATGTTTTTCTTTTGCTCTCGAGACAGATAAAATAAACGGAATAATGCAGCAGCATGGAACAAATAATTGCTACTTTTCCAAAATACTAGGGCAAGTTTTTGATAATAATTCGCCATTAAACGTGGATTTGGAGCTTTTTTTGACAATGTCATTAAACCATGAATATCTTCAATTGCTTTATATGCCTCCTGCCATAATTCCATTTGTATCGCACTATCCAACTGAACAAGCCGAGTTTCCAAATGCATTCCCTGACTGTCTGGATTATTTAAATTTATAGACGTTTGTTGATTTTGATGTTTATGGATATGTCCTAGATGTGCCCTTAAATTGTCACATAATTTACGAAATTCAGTTTTACGATTATAATTCAAACAAAATCTGAATGCTTGTTGAGCAATATCATGGTATAATCGTTCAACACGAGAATTGTTTCGCAACAGCTCCAAGCACTGGCGATAGGATTCCCATAAGAACTTAACCCATGGTGTTAAAACAACTCTATCAGTCCTATCTTGAGTATCTTCACTGCTTACAGCGCTAAGTAATAAATTTTCAGGAGTCTGCACTTGATCCAAATCATCAATATCCACAACAGCTTGTTGGGATTCCTCCCGTGCTGCTTCAGTTTTCTCATCAGCAAGTTTTAAATATCCACGAACAACATCTTCCAAAGACTTGATATTCACTTGTTGGCATATATTTCGATACTGAAATAAACCTTCCTTAGCAAGATGACTTTTCTTTAACTCTACACATAATTCCAAATATTTACTCATAATAGGCTCATGAATTTTTTGCCACGTTCTATGCTTCCTACTTTTAATAACATCATAAAGGGCATCAAGCGCCCTTTGTTTTTTACCAACATCTATGAATTCATTTGCTCTTTTGAGGGCGTTCTCCGGTCTTTGAAAATAAAGCGGCATTTTGATGCGAAGTTGAAACACTGAGTCAGATACAGATTACACAAAATGGTACGTCTTTCGAGGTCACATAATCCCAGACACGAGATCAATACTTCAGAGTATATTCACTTCTTTCAAACATTCAAATGTATTAAAATAACTTGAACCGTGGATATCATTAACATATGTTGAAATGAAATTTTGTTGTTAGTAGATATCTCGATCGCACTTACCCTACAGCGTTACTTACACGCGGACACAAATCATCGACTACGGTTATGAGCGGAACAGATAAAAAATACTGGTACGTTGTATTTTGCGTCGATTACTACATCTTTTTGCTTGCTGGGCAAAACTCTACCATGTGATACAGCTTATAACGGTAACGAGACTGTGGTTGTTATCCAGACCTGGTTGATCTGCCTGTTATCTAATGACGTTCTTAATGTAAGGAGACATACGTGGTACTTTTTTTATGCTAACGGATTTTTCTCAGTAGAGCGGCGTATAATTGCTTTTGTTGTTGGTGTGGGCAGCGCGAAGGCGCAAGAATATTTAGACCGCAAATGCATGCACTTAAAGCTAGATATAAGCAAATGCGCATAAAAAATTAAGAATTATACGACAAATAACGATAACTGTAAACAATATGTACAGGGTGGATTTGCAGTCCAGACAAGCATTTCTATTGGAAAAGCGTGTTCACTATCAGTTACGATAAATAACAGTTACGATCATCCGCATATCTGTTACGATAAGTAACTGATATGCGGATGATTTTTATAAACTGTGAAATGCAGTTGCATATTCTCTTACTCCTCATGTCCAAATTGGAGTATTTTCTCAGTATTGGATAGAGACTTCGAATAATTTGAATTTCTTTGCTGCCCATGTGAGCAATAGGATCCATCCAACTTAATGTGTTGTTGATAATGACACAGAGGTAATTAACTTTTTGTACATCCAAGACAGTAATATCAAATAAGTTGTGATGAAAATCAATTGGTAACTTCTTTTGTGTCGTCTGATAACAAGCAGTTGAAAAGTATTTGCGTTTAAAGGAATTCTGTACAGACGACACCAGTCCTGAGTATCAGAAATTTTATGTTGTAATTTTAGAACTGCATGTGTTTGGTACGGGGATTTTACCGCATGATCACTAACGTCCGCATAACACTCAAGGAAAGAACTTTTATCGTTTCCCGTTTCGTGGACATCATAGACGAAAAATAAATAGAGAATTGGTCCTCACGGAAATTAATTCTCTATTTATTTACCAGTGCAAGAACTGATATTTATTTTTCTTGTGGAATTTGCACAGCTCCTGAGAATGAAAACCTGACAAAATCCCACGGTTCCATTTCTTTCTAAAAATGCTCTTTGTTTACACTCAGTGATTTCTAAATACCGCACCACTTCGACTGACGCAATGAAGACATTTAAAAAAAAAAGTATTTTGTCTTGTGTTGTTCTAAGGATACAATATACCATTATAAAGAGAACATTTTAAAGAATCCTATGCAAAAGTTTTTTAAAGATTGATTTAGATTCCATATTTTCAGATTTTTTTAAAGCGCAATATATTTACAATGTAAAACAACGTAATTCGCCGCTGGAGCAGACGATCTATCAACGTCACATGAGAGTTCGAGGTTCACTTAGGTGGCAACTTGTTCATTTTTTCCGTGTGGAGAGTGGAAAACGTTTACGGTGTTTGTTTTTGTGATGATTTTTTATTGCAAATTGAGTTGCCGTATCGCACTTTTCAGGATATTTTAAACGACAGACTGTTTTTTAAATAATTTGTAATTGCCGTATTATTTATTTGTGGAAAATGTTACGACCTTCGATTTTGAGAGTTCTAGCTGGAGGAAAATCTGCTATCAGGTAAATATTTGGATTTAAGAATTATGTTATTTTGATTCTTTTTGTTATTTTATTTCTTGTGGATAAATTTTGAAAACTGTGAAATGTAGTAGTATATTTTCTTCATAAAGATATAAGATGTAAATAAGTTACTCATGTATCAAAAAGAATGAATGCGCAATGAACTTTTAAGGTAGAAGGCTTCTGCTGGGAAGAGACCGATCGCAAAACTGTGCAATATGCCATTTGATTTTGAACCAAAAGCTGTTTAATTTATATTACATAACAATTTACGTGGTTTAACATATTTAAATCTTATCTGTGAATTTTTGATTTTATATTTAAATTATGCAGGTATTAGTGGCCTCTTCTGTATGCGGAAGTGACATATTTGGGTAAGTAAACTTGATCAGTTTTAAGAGTTGCTGACAAGTAGATAGGTCACAACTTATTTAATTGCATTTTGCCATTCTAATTGTAATCCTGTTTATGTTTTTAAAACTTATTTCCCATTTTAATTATTCAAGTGGCATTATAAAGATGCTAAAATTGATTTAGGATTAAAATTTGAATCACATTAGCATCTAATTCATCAAGAAAGCAGCTTTATAAATACTCTCAAAAGCAAGTTTTAGGTTTTATTTCTTATGCCATGTTATGTAAACTAAAATGTATTATTTTCTTTTGCTTGTTAGGCAGTATGCTGCTGCGCAGACTGCTGTCAGAGAACCAGATGATATTAAAGGAGAAAAGAAAGTAGAAAAAAATGTTTCAGTTAGTATTTTATTTGTCCTTCCTTTTTTAATTCCGAGTTATGTGCAATATATGTACCTTATTTTCCACTCCCAGATGTGTACTCCCATATCCAGTCCACTCCTGTATGAATACCGGTGAAATTTTCTCATAAAAGTTCACTTTTAAAATGACCAAGGAACTAAGACTGCTGAATACTAGTAATTTGATATAGAGTCAAATCCTGGTGAATGTGCTGGGAAAGTGCAGAATCGTCCATTGCTTGGCGTGTTTTTAAGAATTGCGCGTACTCGGTATCAATGTACACTTTGACCTGTTTTCACTTGAAAAAAATCCCAGAATTGCACAAAAATGGCATTGTGCACTTCCTTGACTTTATCCATGTACACTTGACCTATTTTCACTTAAAAAAGCAAAGACAATTGAAAAATCCAATTCTTCTTACTCTTGTAAAAAGTGCCAAACAAACGCCAATAAAATAAGTGGACGATTCTGCACTTTAACCAATGTGCTTCCCTTGTGAATGTTTTCTGAGTTTTGCCTGTTTGTGCAAATACCTATCTGTTTCTCTTAAAACATTCTCAAAAAAAGCCTTCCCTATAACATACAGCCAGTTTAAGGTGTACAGCACAAAATAAGCAACCTACTTCTTAACTGACATCAAACGCAGAAATAAGCCCTTGCAAATATTTTTTCATCAGTAACGCAAACAATCCCTTCACAATAGGGTTTCTCTAACACTCAACTACTACCATAAAAGAAACAACAGTTTGGCGATAAATGAATGAACAACTTAAAAATAAACCAATAGGCACCATAAAATATAGACTAACCTGTTAAACCAATCATACAGAAAAAATTTGTCATTTTTCTTAAAGCAAGCAGTCTCGTATGTAATTATTCAAGTAAATGCTTCTTAGAATGAAGTTCATGTAGTCATGTATGCTTCCTCCCCCCTGAAAAAAATGCAGATCAGTAGTCATTTCGAAACTAACGTACTATCACAGCCACCTTGGCACAGTTTGGTGATTTTTTACAGAAGAAAAATAATAAGTTATAATTGCAAAAAAAAAGTTATTTAAATGGGAGTAAAATACTCGCTAATTTTTTAATTAATAAATACTAATAATGTATTATGGCAAAAGTATATGTATGGGTACCCCTTGGCGATTATTGGCGTTACATGGATACTGAGATTGTGCAATTCTTTGACTTGTTATTTTGCCTTTGTGTAGTGGCGATTTTAGTGTAAAAAATCGCTGCCACACAAAGACAAAATAACAACTCAGTTGCACAAACTTGGTATCCATGTACACATTGACCTATTTTAAAACAACAGTGCACAGCACAAAAGCAGTGCACTCTCTTTATTCCATCATATGTTGACCTATTTTCACTTGAAAAAATCAGAGAATTGCACAGACTTGGCATTGCACACTCCCTTGACTTTGTCCATGTACACATCGATATATTTTCACTTAAAAAGTCAAAGGAGCACCCAATTCTACAGTAGAGGCAAATAAAAAATACATAATCTCAATAAACTACATTTTAAACCAAACAGTAAATTAACATAAAAAAGGAAAAAACTCTTATGCATCTGAGCACTATCCAAAGCAAATATCCACTTACCTTATTTAGAAATTTCTTTGTCTCTAGTCTGTGGCACACAAAATTCCTTAACAGCATCCAAAAATTCCTAAAATTATCTAAACTTGAATCCATATATCGGCGTCGCCACATAATTCACAAAAATAAAAGTCAAAAATATTCTCCGTAGTTCCGGATTGTCTGGGAAATGGCTACTAAGTAAACCTTCGTTTACACACCAGTCAGTTAATGCTCTTTTCCCGTTTCATTCCAAATTGTACAGAAACTTCATATTAATCTTACTACATTCAGCCATTCTACTGTCTAAACAA